ACGTTTAATTTCTGTACGAACCAATCCAACAAGATATAGCAGTAGAACGTTGAATTTATTGGCAGATTGAGAGTAAAAAAAAATAAAAGAAGTCGCTGATTTTCGGTTTTTAGGAAGTCAAATAATTCAGAATGGAAGGAGGAGTAGAGATATAAAACAAAGGATAACGCAGGGTGGAGCTGCCGTTAACAAAAAAAGACAGTTCAATGTTCTCAAATGGTTAATTTAGAAATTTGAAAAAGATTGCCAAAGGTGTATGTCTGGTGGACGGTGGGCTAGGCGGAAAAGAAATGGTAAGAAGCGTTCAAAATGTGGTGTTACAGGAGAATGATGAAAATACCGGCAAGATAGGTTGGAACACCTCTTCAGGCACGAAGGGCTTCGTTAGAGACATATAGAAGCAAAAACAGGAATTAAAAGAAATAGAGTTCACAAATAGTTAAGGATGTCGAATTTTCGACTTTTAAGGAAAAGCGGAAGTTACCTCAGGATAGGAAGGAGTGGAGGTGGGTGTCCAACCAGTCTTAGGACTGACGACCTTATGACGATGATGTACATATATCGCCATAATTATGATTTCGGATTTATGGAAACCCATCTCCCGATGGTATTACCTTGTATTTCCTAAAAGTGTGATCAAAAAAGAAAAAAATTAGGATACAGACCGATTATCTGCATAACTCTGTTGACTCCCACTCTTAATTTTATTGTGTTCGTCAAATGTCGACATTTTATCGTTTAGTAACAACAGTTCAGAAAAAGCAGAAGAAACAAGTAAATAAGGAGGAAAACCTGTGAAATATTCCGTTCCGGTATTCACGGTGAGCGTACGCCCGAATCAGTCGCTGTTGTAATCTGCCAAGTATTGGAATTTCTCCAGAGACCACGGGAAATGGATTGGAAAACTTCCATCCATTGATTTGTATCCGAGGCCGCCTTTTTCCGCCCAGCACGGCACTTATGTATATTAACTGTGTACGGCGGCGTTTCTCTCTCTTCTGACGGCGAGGCGCCGCGGCGCTTGACTGGTGCAGCGCGCCACCATCCACCCCCAAAAGGGGACGATCGGTCGGTTGGTCGGTCGAAAAAAAAAAAGGTAAAGGTGCCCTCACTCAAATCGCTTTATTATTTTAAACGGTAAACGCATTTCGTTTTTCCCATGTTTCTTTTCATTTATTTTGCTTAACAAGGGGATTTAGCTATATTCGATGAAATGGAATGAGAGTACTTATAGATAACATGCGTGGAGATAACAAACAGGAAACAAATGGACTTTTCTGTGACATTCCTTTGAAGCGTGATTAAAAAATCCTGGCAATTCAGTCTTATTTCTTGTGTTTCACGTTTTATATTCAAAATTAGTTGTTGATATTTTCTCCTGTGCATGTAGTTGGTTGGTAAAGTGGTAATATTTCGAGTGAGAGCAGGGGAGCGAGTAAGAAGAAGACGTCGGCATCGCCGTCGCGGCGTCTGTTTTAATCAGAGTGAAACAGTTTTAATTAAATTAAGGTACGCGGCTTACACGGGCACGTCAATCATCCTCAGCCTAATTATGGCGATATTGCTAGTCTTAGTGCCAGTTTAATCCATTTACTGCGCTGCGAGAAGTCATACATATCAGCGGCAGAAACGTCGAGAAATTTGTATCTCGTAAAGCAAACTATTCCCATCCAATCGAGACTTTATGCATATTAGGTACATTCATTTATAATGCCTTTACGACAACAACGAAGGCATGCGCGCTACAATCAACATCAAATCATTTTTGATGATTCCTGATGCGTAAGAATCCTTGACACCTCAGGTCGAGAATTATTGTTTACGTTTATAACAATTCCGAGAAGGAAAAATTGCGAAAAAGGAATGCGAGGAAGAAAAATAAGACGCGACTGTTAAGCACTAGAAAAAGCGTTATTGCGAGCGTTTCCTCCATCGGAATGGCCATTAAATATGACGATAATTCCGGAGAAAATCGTTAACCGTTCCCTGGGCCTCTTCCATCCCCGCGACCAATCCGAACGGGTGGTAGCGGGTGGTATAATGGCCCAAGTTCGCAGATAGGATCATGAATCACGGTGACCACGGTTAAGGAACAAACCCGGAAGTCGACCGGTGGCGCTGGACACAATTTCCGGCTGCGAGCCTATATAGAGAGAGGAGAAGCTGTCAGCGGGTCCGCGGCAATCTACTATGACCAATGGGCATTCGAGTTCCGGAAGACGGACGCTCCACTACACGCTAAACGACTTCGGCGACCGGAGCCCGGATTAGTCCGGAGCTCCGGGGACACATCTTATTAAGGTTCGTTCGTAGGCGGTGGCGTCGCGACGATGACGACGCTCTCGCTACAGCAACCCTCGCTCGCATACGCGCGGACCACTATCAGAAGCAGGTTAATGAGGTTTAAGGGAATCGGTTTGGAAACTAATACGTTCGGTCAGCTAAAGCTCGCACAAATACATTTACCGGCTAAAAAGCATCGCGAAAGTTTCAACATTATTTCGGACGTTGAAGAACTTTTACAAGGCGTTGATAAAAATCGTATTAAAAAAGTATAACGTTTGGTAAAATAATAATCAGAAGTGCTTGACATTTTAACAATTGCAAACTTATCATGCATTGTACATTAAAATAATTATAAGTAGCACAGAGGAACTGAAAAGTAATTTGTCGCTAAAACAAAAAACATCGCACACTTACCTTGTTAGTATCTCGACGCCAACTGAATAACAACTGCACAACACTTTTGTTTTGATATAATTTATAATGAATAATTTTTTCAGAAATTTAGAAATTAATTAAAAAAAATGGCCAAACAGCTGTTACGTAGTCTTCGTTATATTATAATTTCATTTTGCACTGTAATTTTAATTTATTTTCATTTTTTTTTTTTAATGCATATTACTTGCTATAAAAAGGAAGCAGATGGTTTTAAGGATGTAGGTGGAGAAAAATACTTGAATGTAAGTACACAAGATGTAGCATTTAATGCCGACGTTTCAAAAAAACACTATACAGAGGGACACAGCGTTACCAAATTAGTGTAGTGGTATCTCGTCCAATCATCGTTTATTATTATTATCATTATAATAATTATATTCATATACTTTTATTAAAAAGCAGAACACAATAAAGTCTCCTCTCATACATAACACAGAAGTACGATATTTTATTGATCTGTATTCATTTAGTATTTAGTTATTTTTTTTTTCTCTTATTATTTCGTATACATTGGATAAGGCGAACAACGATGGAAAAATCACTTAAAAATGAACAGCCAATATTATTATTCTGGAGGTATGTGTCAGCTCTTTGCCAGAGATGGTGCAACAGTAAAGACGATAATCGACGGTTGCCGTGCGGATCTCGAAGCCGACGCCATTGGATAACACCAAACAAAGCATTAACCTCATAAAAAAAATTTACAAAACAACAAATTGCACTAGCCAGCGTCGGCTCGGAAATTCGCGACAACCGAAGTACATATTTATTTTAATTACATCATCGTCTGTGCTTTCTCTCGTATGTATGTATAATTTTTTATTCTTCGCGTCTCTTTCTGTCTGATCGTAAGCATCAGGGAACGGGCCGATAGTATAGTATACATCATATTGTTCATTCGTAACTTGCTTATAAATATTCAAAAACTATAATGATCTGTTTAGAAGTATGCATAACGTGTCTGACGCCTAGAACCGTCTCTACTTGTGTGTAATAAGTAATACATAGTAATAACAGCATTAAGAATTAATTATCATTTCGTAATAAAATATTAATCTATTGGTTAGCAAACTTGTTTCGATTGGCCATTTCTCTCGCGTCCTTTATGTGCTAGATTATTTATTTTAATGACTATTTTAACATCACCAATTTCGTATACCAACATGACGAAAGAAAAATGCCCAACTAATCATAAACAAGACGATCCGTCATCCGCTAATTGTAAAAAATTTCATGCACTGATACACCAAAAAAAAAAAAAAACGTCTCTTAAAAAAATTTGATCTGAAAATGTGAACCTCTGTCGCAGATGACCGATGCCTTTAATAAGTTTACCATCGAAATTTTAGTTGAGACGGTCCTGATGGTCTCCTGCGGTAACAACAGACAAATGACAGCGTCATTTGCTTGGTTGATTGCTGTCGTTGATGAGTTTAATATTCAATTTTAATTTTAATTTTTGTTTTTATTCTATACCAGCCGAGACCTAGCGTCACGTTGCGTACTAATAAAACGGGGTGCTATACTAGGCACTCGCGTTATTTGTTACGTATATCTTTTGTTGGGACAAGGTTTCATAAACCAGAAATTTCGGTACGATTTAATTTATTACTCTTAGATATTGATAATTAACTGACAGATAAAATTGTTTCATTTAATATGAGTCCAAAAATTGTAATCGGTATTGTTTTCGTGGTTCGTACCTAAATTTCTGTCTCACACAGGTCATAATTAATATAATCAAAATAGCAAAAAAATCACAACAGATATAACAACTATTTCTCTTTCTCTGTCTGTTTTTTGTTACAACAGCACAACCTCGATTTTTGTTTGTACGCTGTGGATCAATCGATTTGTTGGAGCAAGTTTTAGTTAGGGAAATGCGTGGTGTGTTTGTTTAAATATTAATTAATAATTAATATAATTTCACCTAATAAATATGCGCGGGTATGTGTTTATGTGTGTATATGGGCGAATGAGTGTGTGTTTGTGGGGAACGGGGACAAAAAAACAAGAAGAAACGTATTGGATCAGATGTATGTAGTCGTAGGCTATGTTGTCCTCGAAACTGCGGAGTAGATTACGATGATGACGTCCGTGAGAGTTAACATCGAGGAATCTAATGATAAGCGTTAAAAGAGCGCATCACTGACTTAGACTTGTTTTAAAAAACGGATCCCCGTTGTCCCTGTTTTGTTCAATTTTTCTTCATATTTCTTTACACAATCCTTGAGGGGGGCGGGGGCGGTGGGGGGGGGCNAATAATATGCACCTAATACTTTTTTCTTTTGTACAAGTCCATCCCGTTTCTTTTTTCTTTTTACTCTTTGTTAACTAAACACTGGGTCACTACATTTACATTTTGTACAGAGAATAATCACATTTAAAAGTTGCTTATTTCAAAGTTCATTGTCGTTGTGTGCGTGTGACCTGAAACGAAACAAAAAAAAGGGAAATAACATTTTGTAGCCGAACACACTTTTCAGGCTTTGGCGACGGTTTATGGATTGATCGTGAGACAAATAAAATAATTCGAAGTGGTCTGTATTCTGTCGAAACTGCCTTTTTGGTTCTCATCAGCGCGTCGCAGAAAGCTCCGACAGAAAACAGACCAACTTTTACCTGCTGTCTTAACAGCGCGTTTTAGAAAATACCACAAATGGCGCGGTAAACGCCATCTGTAGTACGATGCTACATTTTGAGACAGAAATTGTCTTCTTTGATTCGATTGTCAAATCCGAGAATAACGCCTAGCGTTTAAAAAAGAATGCTTGTGTACCTCACAGGTGGTGTCCGTAGTATTCTGCTGGGTAATGGGCGTATTGGTTGTGGAAAGCTGCTTCTCCAGGCGGTCGGTGCATCATCTGCTGCCCATCCATCATGTAACCCATGGTGGCGTCGGGGCTATAAGCACCGCTGGGACCTGCGTGCGGGGAAAACACTGTTAGGAAAGTCAAAAACTGTCCTTGAACCACAGCCATGGAAACAAACTAATATTAAATTACTGAGTAATTTTTTCAGAATGGAAAACCTATTTTTTTTGTGTCAACCGAAATAGCTTGATTACCGTTACAGGTTTGACTTTTCCTGTACACTCGAGACAACGTGTTTGTCTAAGAGCGATTCATCTTAAGTTTGTGGCCGTTTTATGAGTCATAAAAAGGACCTTCACGTTTTACGACCGGTGCAGTTTGAGCACTTTGCCAGTACATTCCACTCCTGACATACTATCATCACCACATTACTTACCCGATAACGATAACATATTTTCCTCTTTTATTTCCTTTTTATTACGCTTTAACAACAACAAAAAGACCAAACTCCACTAAATATTTGTTAATTCAAACGATTGCATAATTAAAATAGTTAGGCACGCGAGGAGGTTACAGGATAACTTTAGCAGTCAATAAAAATTACGATATCATCTATACCTTTAAATGTAACATAATAGAAACAGAAAATAATCAGTTGATTGTAGATTGTTTCGTTTGATAGTCACAAAAAAAGAATTGACAGTGCCAAAAACTGATCCTGCGAACTCTATTCTGAGTCCTAGCCAGGTCTTCAGGTATCGGAAGGAATGAATTTATTCGATCAGTCGATGAATAAAGTCGTCGCATAAATATTTCGGCTGGCGTTGTATAATTACATTGTTTCAACTTTTTAATGCCATTATGGACCATAATACTATATATTCCGCCAGACTCCTCATCAGATACTTGTACGAAGAGAGAAGAAGGCTACGTGTGCCCTCAATCTATACATATACACACATACGTACACAAGAACACCTATGTGTGTGTGTGTGTTCGTACGTATGTATGTATGTATGCTGCCTGCCGAACAAAAAGCGACCGATTCTTGTGAATAGGAGCGACATCAATCAAGGTTGTCAGTTGGTAATGGGCAACTCGAGCTGGCAGATGAAAGTCAGTATTATACTGGACGCTTTATTGTCCTGCCTCTCTCTCTTTCTCTCTTTATATTTCTGATTCTGACTCTGGGATGCTGATCACAAATATCTATTCATGTAACATTTGAACAGGAGAGAACACCCAACCAGCAGACACCAAGAGTTTAGGTTTTAGATTGAAAAAAGTCTTGAGTGGAGGATATCGGAAATTTTGGTATCAATTAATGGTAATAGTGACTGGAAAGAAATCACCGAGCATTTCTAATAAGAATCAGGTCAATGGATAGAGGTTGGATGATGCCAGTTTAGATTTAGGATTGAAAAGATATCCTTAGATCCATGTTTGAATAAAGTCAGAAAAATCGAAAAGAATTTGGCATTTTTGGTGTCAAGTAATAGTGTGTAGTTGTAACTAAGAAATCACATAGTATTTCCAACCGGGGAGGAGGCGACACCAGTTTAGAATTTCAACGGAAAAAATATCGTCAGGTAGATCCATGCTTCATTGGAGTCCAAACAATTGGAAACAATTAAAATCGTTGACGTCACCTAATAGTGGATGGAATTGGAATGCAATCATCGAACATGTATTTCTTACCGAGAACCAGTCGAAATTTTGGTTCTGATTGGAAAAATTGCCAATAGGTAGGTATATTTATGATTAAAAGGAATCAAAACGATGGGATAAAATCGATAGAAAAATTTTCTGACTGACGATAAGATAATCGATGGAACAATGATTTCTTCCAAAAAATTGAAAGGAATTTGAAGTTGTTAGTATACCAATTAATAATGGGTGTGATTGGAACGAAATCGAATGGTATTTTTCCAATCGTTCACAAAATAAGTGTTGCCTTAGATGGAAAGAATAATGTGCAATTTATTTGTGTGGCTGGCTCGCGTTACAACGAATAGGTATTTGCGGTGGTTGATTGCTATTTCTTCTTCTTCGGTAAAAGGATTTTTTAAGGGTTTGTTCATTGAAGCGGCACGACGGTTGTGGCGTGTATCGATTCAACTTTTCCGTTTTCTGCGAACGACAGCCAAAGAGAAATTGTCGAAGCCATTGACCTACGCGGACCGATCCATCACGCGGCGTAGACAATCGAGCAACACACAACCCTCTCTGACAGCGCGGCGCGCCCTTGCGATCAAGGGAGAGATTTCCACGCTGGTTTAAATGGAACTGCGACGACGTATCCGTACCGCGTGCGGGCTATAGCCTTGCGACTCGTAGGCGAGAGAAAGACTTTAGCTCTCCAGGACTACTAGTACTGCTACTACTGTCCTTTATTTATGGGACGGCACCTAGTGCAAAGTCGTGTCCGCGTCGTATTGCCGTTCGTTTCAATTAAAGGGATGAGTATAGACTTCAATTAGATGAGGAGTAGGTTTCCGCCGTTGCGATATATATTTGCACAGAAAGACGGAGACAGGAACCAGGAACAAAGAGGAAGCCAAGACGTACTAACTTGGAAGCAGTCACGAAACTCGTTAGACCTTTAGGACACGAAATAACCAAAACGGTTGTCCATAACGGGGTGCGACAATCTTATTGTACTAAGTAAGTACTCTTGGGGATGCGCATGATTAAAATAAGAAGGAATATTTAATTTTACTCACCTGCTCTATTTGACTGGTCTATCATTGGCTGTACTATCCTTCTCCTCGCGTTTATGAACCTGAAACAAAAAGATACAATTACTTACAATTAATTTATGACGAATGCAAAAGTCTGAAGACAAAAGAAATAAGAATGTGGAGGTGTATGTCTATGTAATTTGGAATTTGAAAATGCGAAGAAAAACGGTGCAATTTTGTATTTTATGAATAACGTCTCAGTATCGGCAGCAGTACAAGCAACAAATTGGGGTGACTACTGCATCAGCAGCAGTGTAATGGTAGTATCGGAAGTTTAAGTAATGGATAGGGGGAGAGATGATCTCAGAATTCAAAGTAATTTTCTTTATGTGCACTTTACTATCCGGGGTTCGGTTTAAGATATAAATAAGATGATCTTTGCCAATGGGTTTCGAGGTAAAACGGTGTAGCGTTAGCGACGTAAGGAATTGATCAATAGTCTATAAAAAAAAAAAGGAACACGAAGGGAAAAGGACGCGAGTTGATTAATCAATTTTCAATTTTATTCGGTAATCGCCCTGTACTTACTACAGAACGAACGAAAATATGACAGAAATGGTAAAAGCAGGTAGCTTTGTTGTTGAATTAATAAAGTTGCCTTTAAAGTTGACATTATTTGCAGTTTTTGGATGACTAAAAGCTGGCAGACCAAACAAAATAATCCATTTCACTCACGGCCACTAATATTCGTGTTTTCGTGGTCGTTAACATCGGTTAACAGCTCGGTTTACGTGGCATTTCGTACCAAACGTTCCTTTCCAAATAAACAAATTTAATAGTAATTGCCTCTAAATAACTTTAAAATTGCTGACGTAAATGTACACAAGACTTAATATACCATTGCAATAAAAAAAAAGGAAAAACGATTTCGTATGAGTGACTTTAAGGAAAAAGTACCCAATTTTGAAACGGAAAATTCAACAAAATTTAGCGGAATCATGTTTCATTTAAAGTTTAATTTATCTGAGAAACTTTTTTTCATTTTAAACAAAAGCTTGACATAAAAATAATATGCTTACGTCTTAAAGAATGTACATCAAACATGATCACATTCAAGAAATAAATTGAAATGGCGTACAGAAATACTATGAAGACTACAATTTGTCGTTGAAAGATGGTATATTTACCCATTTTGTCACTAGTCCCGCCTCGAGCTGATTAGCGCGAAAAACGATTGCATGCCTACAGGTAGCAAGTATCGAAATAGAATACATTAGCAGAAAAATACTGACAAATTAGGGACAGTTGTTTTTCGTTGAACAGCTGGAAGATAGATTAGCGACAAATTAGTTAAAATATCATCTTCAGATACAAATAAGCGACAAATTACAGTGGGTGTGTTCCGAATTACAACCCAGCATACTGACCAATGCTGATGACGTTATGAATCGACGCCATACTGTTGATTCGTTCCGAAATATACTAGCCAGTGCATTGATGTCAAATTAACGTCATATTGACAATAGTGTTTGTGCTCGTTTACAATAATTTTGTTCTAAGAGTTATTAAAGTTTCTTGCAATAAAAAATTCCTCAAAGTCTGATGCACACACGCCCGTTTGATATACTACTACATCACATTTGTCTCACCAGTACAATATGGTGGCGCACCAGTACAATATGGCGTCGATTTATGACGTCATCAGCACTGGCCAGTATGGTGTTTATATTTCGGAACACACCCAGTGTCTCTCTCTACGCCGTTTCTATCGTATTTCGAGGTAGTAGGCACCCAATTTTCCAATAATAACCGGAAAATTTTTAGATTTGGGAACAAAATAGCGACAAATAATAGTTCTGCGTCTGGATACACTAGATGAATAGGTTTTATTTTTCTCTTTTCTTGTAATAGTGGGTAGGTATCCAATGTTTTCTTGCCGCTAATGTCGTTTCGTCCACCGCTAATCGAAAGTATTTCATTTCCCGGTCTCCTTTGTTTCCGATTGAAACAACATATTGATTGAGGCAAAGTGTCAAACAGCATTAGGGCGTATTGTTATCGGTGGCGCCCGTTGGTTCAGTTTCGCCCGACCAAGCAACCCTTCTATTCCGCCGTTCGTTCGTATCGAGAAGGCCCTCGGCGGTGTAGGGTTTCGGGGAATGCGTTCCCATTCTTCATTCGCGTTTTCCATTATTACAGAGTAATCCCGGCTAATGATCAGCGCTGTAATTTGCCAGCCCCACGCTACGCGTACACTGTAAACAGTTGTTTCTGAAGTCGCACGCTTTCTCTCTATCTCTCTCTCTAATCTCTCTTTCACTCTTTATATGTGTACCCTAGTATACGCTACCACTCACCCCACGCACCCGCACCCCTTTATTCTTCGACGTTCTCGCTCAAACCCTCCCGCAAACGGTATACTCAATTTCAACCATCGCCCAACTTTAACCGAAATTGATTTGTTGTTGTTTTGTTTTGTTTTGTTGAAGAAACAAATTAAATTCATTAAAGGCTCAAATAATAATAAAAGGATACAACTTTTGAATTTTCAGGAGGGTTAGTTATTCTTAAAGATCTTTATTATTTTTTTGAAGAAACTATTGAGTACATATTTTGAAACATTCAGACCCCCAACGTTCGCAAAGGGGTTGTAAATCATCAACAGAATATTTTACAATAATCCAATTAGTAGTAGTAGATAAAGTATGTATTGTATGTACTAAAATACTTATGGAATTGTACATTTGATGACTTGAATATCGAGTAAAATAAGCGAACATTTCGAAAGAATGTAGTGAAGTTTAATATACGAGCAATTGGCAGCTAATAGTTTGTTGTGAACACGCTGGGAACGAAATCCAACCCCGGCAATCCATCATTTATAAGAAAGGGGTTAGAGAGAGAGTGTGTCTACTACCACGTTTCCCGTACTCCCTAATCCGGAAACGATAATTGCAAACAGAAATGGAAATAACAGTCGTTTGTGTGTAATCATGCCATTTAGAATGAAAGGAGGACGGCAAGGAGTTAGCAGAAGCTGTTGCTAAAGGCCCCTCTCGCCATTTGATACAGATAATCTAATATTAGACGGTTACTTTGTATCGCTTTTTGCTAAAGGTCAAATCGATGATTCGAATTAAGAAAAGAAAAACATCGCCAATAAGGACGTGTCCGTCTATCTTTTTATTGTCATTTGTTAAAGTCCATATTGTTAAATAATAATTTATCGACTACATTGCAAACAACAACAACAATTATTGACGCCACTTTAAACGAACTTCCCTGTATTACCTGACTACAATTTGTAGGGGGCTTGTCTCAGGTAACGTGTGAACTTCATGTGGCAAATGAGAGGCATGCCGATAGAGGGATTTCCCTGTAGATTCCTCATGAAGACCTCCACGAAAAAAATCAACCTTATGGGGCTTCGATTAGGCAAATCAATTTTAGAAACTCTTTTAGATAAACCTGTGGTTTTTTTGCCAGTGAATCATATCTGAAAAGCATCAGCGGATGAGAGAACGAGGCAAAGCGTTATGTGCTCTTCGTGTGCCTTATAGGACAGCCTCATGGAATGCGGGCTAGGTACTGTGGCTAGCCTCGTTGGAACCCTAGCTGCTCCTACCAAAATTCTAGCTTCATGGGCTCCAANAATAATAATATGCACCTAATACTTTTTTCTTTTGTACAAGTCCATCCCGTTTCTTTTTTCTTTTTACTCTTTGTTAACTAAACACTGGGTCACTACATTTACATTTTGTACAGAGAATAATCACATTTAAAAGTTGCTTATTTCAAAGTTCATTGTCGTTGTGTGCGTGTGACCTGAAACGAAACAAAAAAAAGGGAAATAACATTTTGTAGCCGAACACACTTTTCAGGCTTTGGCGACGGTTTATGGATTGATCGTGAGACAAATAAAATAATTCGAAGTGGTCTGTATTCTGTCGAAACTGCCTTTTTGGTTCTCATCAGCGCGTCGCAGAAAGCTCCGACAGAAAACAGACCAACTTTTACCTGCTGTCTTAACAGCGCGTTTTAGAAAATACCACAAATGGCGCGGTAAACGCCATCTGTAGTACGATGCTACATTTTGAGACAGAAATTGTCTTCTTTGATTCGATTGTCAAATCCGAGAATAACGCCTAGCGTTTAAAAAAGAATGCTTGTGTACCTCACAGGTGGTGTCCGTAGTATTCTGCTGGGTAATGGGCGTATTGGTTGTGGAAAGCTGCTTCTCCAGGCGGTCGGTGCATCATCTGCTGCCCATCCATCATGTAACCCATGGTGGCGTCGGGGCTATAAGCACCGCTGGGACCTGCGTGCGGGGAAAACACTGTTAGGAAAGTCAAAAACTGTCCTTGAACCACAGCCATGGAAACAAACTAATATTAAATTACTGAGTAATTTTTTCAGAATGGAAAACCTATTTTTTTTGTGTCAACCGAAATAGCTTGATTACCGTTACAGGTTTGACTTTTCCTGTACACTCGAGACAACGTGTTTGTCTAAGAGCGATTCATCTTAAGTTTGTGGCCGTTTTATGAGTCATAAAAAGGACCTTCACGTTTTACGACCGGTGCAGTTTGAGCACTTTGCCAGTACATTCCACTCCTGACATACTATCATCACCACATTACTTACCCGATAACGATAACATATTTTCCTCTTTTATTTCCTTTTTATTACGCTTTAACAACAACAAAAAGACCAAACTCCACTAAATATTTGTTAATTCAAACGATTGCATAATTAAAATAGTTAGGCACGCGAGGAGGTTACAGGATAACTTTAGCAGTCAATAAAAATTACGATATCATCTATACCTTTAAATGTAACATAATAGAAACAGAAAATAATCAGTTGATTGTAGATTGTTTCGTTTGATAGTCACAAAAAAAGAATTGACAGTGCCAAAAACTGATCCTGCGAACTCTATTCTGAGTCCTAGCCAGGTCTTCAGGTATCGGAAGGAATGAATTTATTCGATCAGTCGATGAATAAAGTCGTCGCATAAATATTTCGGCTGGCGTTGTATAATTACATTGTTTCAACTTTTTAATGCCATTATGGACCATAATACTATATATTCCGCCAGACTCCTCATCAGATACTTGTACGAAGAGAGAAGAAGGCTACGTGTGCCCTCAATCTATACATATACACACATACGTACACAAGAACACCTATGTGTGTGTGTGTGTTCGTACGTATGTATGTATGTATGCTGCCTGCCGAACAAAAAGCGACCGATTCTTGTGAATAGGAGCGACATCAATCAAGGTTGTCAGTTGGTAATGGGCAACTCGAGCTGGCAGATGAAAGTCAGTATTATACTGGACGCTTTATTGTCCTGCCTCTCTCTCTTTCTCTCTTTATATTTCTGATTCTGACTCTGGGATGCTGATCACAAATATCTATTCATGTAACATTTGAACAGGAGAGAACACCCAACCAGCAGACACCAAGAGTTTAGGTTTTAGATTGAAAAAAGTCTTGAGTGGAGGATATCGGAAATTTTGGTATCAATTAATGGTAATAGTGACTGGAAAGAAATCACCGAGCATTTCTAATAAGAATCAGGTCAATGGATAGAGGTTGGATGATGCCAGTTTAGATTTAGGATTGAAAAGATATCCTTAGATCCATGTTTGAATAAAGTCAGAAAAATCGAAAAGAATTTGGCATTTTTGGTGTCAAGTAATAGTGTGTAGTTGTAACTAAGAAATCACATAGTATTTCCAACCGGGGAGGAGGCGACACCAGTTTAGAATTTCAACGGAAAAAATATCGTCAGGTAGATCCATGCTTCATTGGAGTCCAAACAATTGGAAACAATTAAAATCGTTGACGTCACCTAATAGTGGATGGAATTGGAATGCAATCATCGAACATGTATTTCTTACCGAGAACCAGTCGAAATTTTGGTTCTGATTGGAAAAATTGCCAATAGGTAGGTATATTTATGATTAAAAGGAATCAAAACGATGGGATAAAATCGATAGAAAAATTTTCTGACTGACGATAAGATAATCGATGGAACAATGATTTCTTCCAAAAAATTGAAAGGAATTTGAAGTTGTTAGTATACCAATTAATAATGGGTGTGATTGGAACGAAATCGAATGGTATTTTTCCAATCGTTCACAAAATAAGTGTTGCCTTAGATGGAAAGAATAATGTGCAATTTATTTGTGTGGCTGGCTCGCGTTACAACGAATAGGTATTTGCGGTGGTTGATTGCTATTTCTTCTTCTTCGGTAAAAGGATTTTTTAAGGGTTTGTTCATTGAAGCGGCACGACGGTTGTGGCGTGTATCGATTCAACTTTTCCGTTTTCTGCGAACGACAGCCAAAGAGAAATTGTCGAAGCCATTGACCTACGCGGACCGATCCATCACGCGGCGTAGACAATCGAGCAACACACAACCCTCTCTGACAGCGCGGCGCGCCCTTGCGATCAAGGGAGAGATTTCCACGCTGGTTTAAATGGAACTGCGACGACGTATCCGTACCGCGTGCGGGCTATAGCCTTGCGACTCGTAGGCGAGAGAAAGACTTTAGCTCTCCAGGACTACTAGTACTGCTACTACTGTCCTTTATTTATGGGACGGCACCTAGTGCAAAGTCGTGTCCGCGTCGTATTGCCGTTCGTTTCAATTAAAGGGATGAGTATAGACTTCAATTAGATGAGGAGTAGGTTTCCGCCGTTGCGATATATATTTGCACAGAAAGACGGAGACAGGAACCAGGAACAAAGAGGAAGCCAAGACGTACTAACTTGGAAGCAGTCACGAAACTCGTTAGACCTTTAGGACACGAAATAACCAAAACGGTTGTCCATAACGGGGTGCGACAATCTTATTGTACTAAGTAAGTACTCTTGGGGATGCGCATGATTAAAATAAGAAGGAATATTTAATTTTACTCACCTGCTCTATTTGACTGGTCTATCATTGGCTGTACTATCCTTCTCCTCGCGTTTATGAACCTGAAACAAAAAGATACAATTACTTACAATTAATTTATGACGAATGCAAAAGTCTGAAGACAAAAGAAATAAGAATGTGGAGGTGTATGTCTATGTAATTTGGAATTTGAAAATGCGAAGAAAAACGGTGCAATTTTGTATTTTATGAATAACGTCTCAGTATCGGCAGCAGTACAAGCAACAAATTGGGGTGACTACTGCATCAGCAGCAGTGTAATGGTAGTATCGGAAGTTTAAGTAATGGATAGGGGGAGAGATGATCTCAGAATTCAAAGTAATTTTCTTTATGTGCACTTTACTATCCGGGGTTCGGTTTAAGATATAAATAAGATGATCTTTGCCAATGGGTTTCGAGGTAAAACGGTGTAGCGTTAGCGACGTAAGGAATTGATCAATAGTCTATAAAAAAAAAAAGGAACACGAAGGGAAAAGGACGCGAGTTGATTAATCAATTTTCAATTTTATTCGGTAATCGCCCTGTACTTACTACAGAACGAACGAAAATATGACAGAAATGGTAAAAGCAGGTAGCTTTGTTGTTGAATTAATAAAGTTGCCTTTAAAGTTGACATTATTTGCAGTTTTTGGATGACTAAAAGCTGGCAGACCAAACAAAATAATCCATTTCACTCACGGCCACTAATATTCGTGTTTTCGTGGTCGTTAACATCGGTTAACAGCTCGGTTTACGTGGCATTTCGTACCAAACGTTCCTTTCCAAATAAACAAATTTAATAGTAATTGCCTCTAAATAACTTTAAAATTGCTGACGTAAATGTACACAAGACTTAATATACCATTGCAATAAAAAAAAAGGAAAAACGATTTCGTATGAGTGACTTTAAGGAAAAAGTACCCAATTTTGAAACGGAAAATTCAACAAAATTTAGCGGAATCATGTTTCATTTAAAGTTTAATTTATCTGAGAAACTTTTTTTCATTTTAAACAAAAGCTTGACATAAAAATAATATGCTTACGTCTTAAAGAATGTACATCAAACATGATCACATTCAAGAAATAAATTGAAATGGCGTACAGAAATACTATGAAGACTACAATTTGTCGTTGAAAGATGGTATATTTACCCATTTTGTCACTAGTCCCGCCTCGAGCTGATTAGCGCGAAAAACGATTGCATGCCTACAGGTAGCAAGTATCGAAATAGAATACATTAGCAGAAAAATACTGACAAATTAGGGACAGTTGTTTTTCGTTGAACAGCTGGAAGATAGATTAGCGACAAATTAGTTAAAATATCATCTTCAGATACAAATAAGCGACAAATTACAGTGGGTGTGTTCCGAATTACAACCCAGCATACTGACCAATGCTGATGACGTTATGAATCGACGCCATACTGTTGATTCGTTCCGAAATATACTAGCCAGTGCATTGATGTCAAATTAACGTCATATTGACAATAGTGTTTGTGCTCGTTTACAATAATTTTGTTCTAAGAGTTATTAAAGTTTCTTGCAATAAAAAATTCCTCAAAGTCTGATGCACACACGCCCGTTTGATATACTACTACATCACATTTGTCTCACCAGTACAATATGGTGGCGCACCAGTACAATATGGCGTCGATTTATGACGTCATCAGCACTGGCCAGTATGGTGTTTATATTTCGGAACACACCCAGTGTCTCTCTCTACGCCGTTTCTATCGTATTTCGAGGTAGTAGGCACCCAATTTTCCAATAATAACCGGAAAATTTTTAGATTTGGGAACAAAATAGCGACAAATAATAGTTCTGCGTCTGGATACACTAGATGAATAGGTTTTATTTTTCTCTTTTCTTGTAATAGTGGGTAGGTATCCAATGTTTTCTTGCCGCTAATGTCGTTTCGTCCACCGCTAATCGAAAGTATTTCATTTCCCGGTCTCCTTTGTTTCCGATTGAAACAACATATTGATTGAGGCAAAGTGTCAAACAGCATTAGGGCGTATTGTTATCGGTGGCGCCCGTTGGTTCAGTTTCGCCCGACCAAGCAACCCTTCTATTCCGCCGTTCGTTCGTATCGAGAAGGCCCTCGGCGGTGTAGGGTTTCGGGGAATGCGTTCCCATTCTTCATTCGCGTTTTCCATTATTACAGAGTAATCCCGGCTAATGATCAGCGCTGTAATTTGCCAGCCCCACGCTACGCGTACACTGTAAACAGTTGTTTCTGAAGTCGCACGCTTTCTCTCTATCTCTCTCTCTCTCTCTCTCTTTCACTCTTTATATGTGTACCCTAGTATACGCTACCACTCACCCCACGCACCCGCACCCCTTTATTCTTCGACGTTCTCGCTCAAACCCTCCCGCAAACGGTATACTCAATTTCAACCATCGCCCAACTTTAACCGAAATTGATTTGTTGTTGTTTTGTTTTGTTTTGTTGAAGAAACAAATTAAATTCATTAAAGGCTCAAATAATAATAAAAGGATACAACTTTTGAATTTTCAGGAGGGTTAGTTATTCTTAAAGATCTTTATTATTTTTTTGAAGAAACTATTGAGTACATATTTTGAAACATTCAGACCCCCAACGTTCGCAAAGGGGTTGTAAATCATCAACAGAATATTTTACAATAATCCAATTAGTAGTAGTAGATAAAGTATGTATTGTATGTACTAAAATACTTATGGAATTGTACATTTGATGACTTGAATATCGAGTAAAATAAGCGAACATTTCGAAAGAATGTAGTGAAGTTTAATATACGAGCAATTGGCAGCTAATAGTTTGTTGTGAACACGCTGGGAACGAAATCCAACCCCGGCAATCCATCATTTATAAGAAAGGGGTTAGAGAGAGAGTGTGTCTACTACCACGTTTCCCGTACTCCCTAATCCGGAAACGATAATTGCAAACAGAAATGGAAATAACAGTCGTTTGTGTGTAATCATGCCATTTAGAATGAAAGGAGGACGGCAAGGAGTTAGCAGAAGCTGTTGCTAAAGGCCCCTCTCGCCATTTGATACAGATAATCTAATATTAGACGGTTACTTTGTATCGCTTTTTGCTAAAGGTCAAATCGATGATTCGAATTAAGAAAAGAAAAACATCGCCAATAAGGACGTGTCCGTCTATCTTTTTATTGTCATTTGTTAAAGTCCATATTGTTAAATAATAATTTATCGACTACATTGCAAACAACAACAACAATTATTGACGCCACTTTAAACGAACTTCCCTGTATTACCTGACTACAATTTGTAGGGGGCTTGTCTCAGGTAACGTGTGAACTTCATGTGGCAAATGAGAGGCATGCCGATAGAGGGATTTCCCTGTAGATTCCTCATGAAGACCTCCACGAAAAAAATCAACCTTATGGGGCTTCGATTAGGCAAATCAATTTTAGAAACTCTTTTAGATAAACCTGTGGTTTTTTTGCCAGTGAATCATATCTGAAAAGCATCAGCGGATGAGAGAACGAGGCAAAGCGTTATGTGCTCTTCGTGTGCCTTATAGGACAGCCTCATGGAATGCGGGCTAGGTACTGTGGCTAGCCTCGTTGGAACCCTAGCTGCTCCTACCAAAATTCTAGCTTCATGGGCTCCAAACAAGCCTCTGTGATTAACCTCGTTGGAACACTAGCTCTTTGTTCCTTCCAAAATTATAGCTTTATGGAGTCCACACGAGACATTCTGACTAATCTTGCTGGAATCCCTCCCAAAATTGTAGCTTCATAACTGTGACTAACCTCGTCGGAACACTAGCTGTTCCTACCAAAATTCTAACTTTTTGGGGTCCACACGAGGCATTCTGATTAATCTTGTTGGAATCGTAGCTCTTCCTCCCAAATATCTACTTTCATGGGATCTACACAAGACATTCTGACTAATCTTGCTGGAATCCGTCCCAAAATTCTAGCTCCATGGGGTTGAAACAAGCCTCTGTGATTAACTTCGTCGGAACACTAGCTGTTCCTACCAAAATTATAGCTTTTTGGGGTTCACACGAGGAATTCTGATTAATATTGTTGAAATCCCAGCTCTCCCTCCCAAAATTCCAGCTTCATGGGCTCAAAACAAGCCTCTTTGATTAACCTCATTGGAGCACTAGCTCTTCCTCTCAAAATTCTAGCTTCATGGGGTACACACGAAGCATTCTGATTAATCTTGTTGGAATCCTAGCTCTCCCTCCAAAATTTCTAACTTCATGGGATCCACAGGAGGCACTGTGACTAACCGCGTTGGAAACCTAGCTGCCCATTCCGAAATTTTAGCAATTTGTTTTACATTCATATAGCAAAAATACTCAATTGAATTTTGTTCGATGCGCGCATCATCAGACAATGACCGTATGTTTGGTTAGCTCAGCTGCGTGACGGTATTAAAGGGATGAAGATTTGGAACGTGGACGAAGATAAAAAGCTACGAATGTACAAATACAGGCAAAGCGATATTTAAATTGGATCGAGGAGGAGGAGGATGAGGAGAAAGAGGGCAGATTACGCAGGTTCTGCACTGCTATGTTTTTCTACACAATTTGTTCGGCTGGGACATTAATCATCCGGGGGCGAGTAGGCGACAACTCGTGTGCGTCGCGTCGTTTCGAAGGATCAAGAAGGGTTCGGTTGCTGGTTCGTTCGTTTCTCTAATTCCTTCAGTAGGAGTAGAAATAAAGTGAGGTCCGACTGACTAGCGCGGAGACTGACTCCCTTAAAATTGCCGCCGTTGCGTTGGTTGTGACGACGTTTTGTTTTCTCCCCCGGGGTTTTACGAGATAAACCGTTTTTCACAGCGAACAGGTTTTCCCGATGTATTCCCGAATAAATATAAACCGCTGAAACAATACACGAAATGATAAAACTCCCGGAAAATATATGACTCGATCGCGGAAAGATGCCAGAACTGCTGGGAACCGCCAAAACTTCTCGCCCTCGCCCCCATCCGCATAAATTTTAGCTGCTTTTTAACATCACTGAAAATTATAATTTCCACTTTCTTTCTACTCGATTTAAATCATTGTCTGAAAAAATGTTACACGTTCTCAAGAAACTGTATTC